TACACACGAATCTTTTTATTACTATTTCTGGGATTTTGTGGCGCCATTAAACAAATTCGAACCTACATTTCAAAATAATAATCATGACTTTCGATAGAATTAACCAATTTCAATAAAACAAAGATTAAATGAACTTGATAATACGCTTTATGATTTTCTTAAGGATTTCATTGAAAAAAAAAGATGTTTACTCAAAACGTCATGCGTCCATAAACAAACAGACAGACCGTCAGATAGTACAATTCTAAAAATTATAAAAATGTACTTATTTAATGATTTACAGTCCCCATAATGATTTTAGTCGCAAATTAATATACTATACAATATTCAGAAACAGACATAACATGTTATTACCATTTTTATTATATGTATAGATTTAAGAGAGATGGCGCTGTTAACATCAATTCTAAAAATAAGAGATTAATTCACACGATTGATACAATAAAAAACATAAAAGAACTTATAAATCAGTGCCTGCATAGTAAGCAAAAAAAGAAAGTTTGATCCTCGCCGAAAAACGAAATTGTTAATAGCTCTTAAAATTTGATTTACCACATAGAGTACTCGGCGGTAAAAAAATAAAAAATAAATGAGATTGTCAACACGCAGTAGGGCAGCGTGTCATTAATATAAAGGTTAGAAGCAAATATGAAACTCAACTACAGGAATAAATTTTAACCTGCCTTTTTGTATCACATTTATGCCACACCACCATCTATCGATGAAATTGGTTAACTATTGTACTTTAATTTAGTTTAGATAATAAGGTTAATATATTTTGTATATATTTATTACGTTCTTTATGTAATACTTTTGTTTACTGCGTTTTAGATATAATTATATCATTATAGAACATTATTTTACATCATTTAATTATGATTTATAATATGATATTAATTTTAAAATGTACTTGATGACTCATCCAACGCCACTATTGAACAAATTCGTACCTATACTTAGTACCCATACTTCAGAATATTTGTCATAACTTTTGATGGAATTAACCAATTTTAATGAAATAAAGACTAAATGTAACCTGAATATACACTTAATAATTTCCTTAACTATTCTTATGATATAAATTAGTACTTTATACGTGATACGTTAACAAACAAACAGACAGACAGACAGACAGACAGACAGAAAAATCTAAAAATGGTAGAAATGTACTTAATTACTTATTTTTAGTACCTCTCAATCACTTTTATTACAAAAATATAAAATGTACAGACATCTGCTATTTACATTTTTATTATATGTATAGATTTCAAATTAGTAACAGTTTTGTTGAGGCGAAATACTTTTTGAACTAAAGATTGGTTTCTTATCTTTAGCTCTTCATCTCGTGATAATTTAATTTATAATGGACTAGTTAGTTGTGAAAATGCTGTAGTCAGAACTAAAATCACAATTGAGCTTTAAAAAAATGAAACACTGAAAAAATTTAGACATAATATGTAGTTAACAATTTAATAGATCAACAAAGCATGCTGAAGAAGTTGAAATGTCAATACTATTTTGGATGTTATAATATCGTCGATGTTCATATTTTCTTTTTCTGTTTCCAAAATGCTTCGAAGTAAAAACCGTGTTTTTTTTTTACAAACAGGAATATTAGACGTCTAACATAGTTTCCCAGGATAATTTAGAAGGTGCACTAGTTGCATATTCGTCATTTGACTGCAAATATAATTACGTATTAAATTAAACCTGTGACAGTGTTTTCTCATCGTCACTTTAAAATATACATACTTTTATTAAAATATTCGACTCTTCATAATCCTGAACCATATTATGTAAATCTGATAGTTGATTATCCATATGATATATTATGATATGATTATATTAAAAATCTATTTCTTACGTGGTAGAGCCACGCGGCAGCTTTTGCTGTCGCACGGATGAGCCGGCACCAAGCGAAACGCGGAGGTTTACCTCTGCGTTTCGCTTGGTGAGTGCAGGTGGCCGGAGGCCCTTTTTACTGGAAATGAGGCATTCCATCTTAGTCCTCACGGGTGACAACGCATCTACATTTTGATTTGTAACAGAGGATAGATGTAGATGTCTATGGGCCGCAGCAGCCACTTACCATCAGGTGGACTGTGTGCTCGTTTGTCACCCTTATCCTATAAAAAAAAAAAAAAAATCTTTGTTTACATGTGTCTGAAATTAACAATATAAATTTGGTAAACAAAAATATAAAAATCATACGAAGTAAATTAGAACTACATTTAAAAACATTATATTTATATATTTATTTATAGCGATAGCACTTATATACGTGTAACAAAATTGTCAAAAAATGGATTTCCTGAGACCACATTTTGATTATATGTGTAAATTTTCATTTACAAAATTAAATACAATTAAATACTTAGCAAAATGTTGTACCAAAATAGCTTGTAATTATTTTTACAAATTGTAGCCTAGTGATATAACATATTAAGCTGTTCCTATTTTCTAAGTAATAGAATGCATTTTTCTTTCTTTCTTAGAAAAAAATTTTATTGCGATTTCTTTAAATTACTTTTCTTCCCTGGAAACAAAACTTTGCTTTGAAATAAGAAATAACAAGTACCTAACAAAAGTTCATACCTGTACCACAGAACAATCTGCTATTTCATTTAAAAACGGTGTGACTCCTTGACTCAGTTGTTTCCCAGTAATCATGTAATTGGTTGATATCAAAAATATTACAAATCTTTGCTTTTTCAAAAAAGGGTATTTTTAGCTCCACATTATTTAACCATTTATTACGTTCTGTTAGATTGGAAGGAAACCTGCAAAAAATTAAGTAATAAAAGATATAAATTTATTTTAATATTGATGTTTCAGTGTATAGTCATTAGTAGCTTTCCATTGACGTCCGTCGAGTTGGGTGTTGATACGTATTTTCACAGAAAAGTTACACTATTATAAACACACACACAAAGATTCAACATGCGGAAACACGTAATTTTTGAGAAAAGAATTATTGAAAATCAATTATTCTTGCAATGTTTATGTCTAATCCTACCGTAAAACTGGCGCCATTTTGTAATGTCATTGTCGACGTCAATAGGGATGTCGATTCTTTCCGAAAAAGGTCGATTTTTAAATCGATTCAAATCGTAAGCTGATGTATTGGTTCACAAAAAATCGATTTCTAAAATATCTATATTTTTTTTATGTTTCTATTTATAATGTAAATAGAAACCCATTTTATGAAAAACAAGAAAGATACCATGATAAATGATCTCTTATTGAAATTTGTTTTATTTAACAGTACCTATTAGGGCAGATAACAAATAAAATAGGTTAGGTTCAACTTATGCCAAAAAACCGAATTGATTGACCCCGACTCCACCTGATACGAGTCTGTCCTAGCCCTAGAGTGGTTTTATAGAGCCGGAGGCGCGTAGGGGGAGCAGCCTCCGCGACTCCACCTGATACGAGTCTGTCCTAGCCCTAAAGTGGTTTTATAGAGCCGGAGGCGCGTAGGGGGAGCAGCCTCCGCCTGCTGTAACAAATCGTAGGCATCGGACGAGCCGAAGCTGCGGAGGCGAGGAGGGATGCCTGCGATTTGTTACGCTAAGGCGTAGAGGCTGCTCTTCCCGCAGCGCCGGAGACGTAGCAGTCTCAAAATAGATACAGAAATCCTTCTGAATCAGTCCCCTTATTTTTTTATGACGAAGGGAATTTTTTTTCTCATAAAATGGATTTATATTTACATTATAAATGCAAACATGAAAAAATTTTAGATATTTTAGAAATCGATTTTTTGGGAATCGAAGCATCAGCTTACAATTCGAATCTATTTAAAAACTCGATCTTTTTCGGAAAGAATCGACATCCCTACTGACAATAATAATAAAAAATGGCGTCAGTTTCATAGTAGGTAGGAATTGACATAAACTTTGTGTGTGTGCTTATAAAAATGTAATCTTTCTGTAAAAATACGTATCAACACAAAACTCGACGGACGTCAATGGAAAGTCGTACCGAGACATATTCTCATCAACATGTTCAGACCACTCGACAATGCTAGATATACCATTTACAGATAATATATGCCTTGTTAAGCAAGAACTTGAGATCCTTATGGAAGGCATACTGGGAAGAAATAAGCAAGTCCAAAGGAATTTGGTATTATGATATACAAAAAAGCCCGCCAGCCACTCCTTGGTACAACAAAAAAGGAATTAATAATAGAAAATGCATTACGACTGTAAACCGAATGAGATTTGGACATAGCAGAGTAGCCGCCCACCTGCATCGTTTGGGAATGAAAGAAAATGCAAATTGTGAATATTGTGGAGACACGAAAGGAGACCAACATCTGGTTTTTCAATGCAGTCAGTTTGGTTTGAATAGATTACTCGTCATTAATTCCATTCAAGATATTAACAATGATAAAGTTCCTGATACTCTTCAAAGTTTATTAGCTGATGAAAAATTCTTCCGACCATTATATTCCTTTATATCTAGTGTCCAAGATATATAAAAATGAGAACAACGTGTTATTAAACAATAGTGCAAACGTAAACAAACTGTGAATCAATGTGAAAGTGAATTTTTGATGAATGTAGCGTAAAGTTAATACATTGTAACTTCAGGCTCAGAAGGGATAGAACCCAGAGCCGTAAAGCTAGTTTAAAAAAAAAGTAATCTTCATAGACAAAATGTTGGACATAGGAAACGTCATAGCTAGGACAGTTACTATCACAAACTATACGTTAGTATCACAGACTAATATGATACTAACGTATGTTAGTATCATATTAGTCTGTGCACAAACTATATAGAAACAATACGCGTTGTTACTATACTCTTTGGCATAGAGTAGAGTAATATATACCGGAATGCTCTTTGGTCATAGCAAACATCTATAGAGTAAAAACTACTTTTATAAAAAATTTGTACCTATCTAAAAAGTTGTATTTGTATCATTTATTAAAAGCTCCAAAAAAAGCTCTTCAAACTGGTGGAAGCCTTTCGTAATTTCTGTTACAAACGATATAATGGAAATTTCTTATCGTTCTATACGCATTATCACCCGGCTTTTAAGAAAACCTTTTGGGATTGTACATTATAAATATGCTTCTAATTCCACGGTTAAAGAAGAAGTTAATACAGAGATAGTGACTTCTTTAAATAAGGATATCAAAGCCGGTAAGTAGCTATGCCTTAATTTATTATTTTTTTAACGTCTATCCCGTTTTTCTACAACAGGTTTATTTTAGCCATATTTTCAAATTCTCTTCTGAAAAAGCTGCAAAAATTAACTTTAACGCAATCCTGTATTCGTACATCTTTCTCGAATTTATTCGTGTTATGCATATACCTCTCGCCAGGGGGAATGGATGGATGCAGGTGGGTCAGGACCGTGCTTTTGGCATTACTTGAGGGAGGCCTTTGTTCAGCAGTGGACTTGTGAAGGGTTGTAATATTGATGATGATTATTATGTTGCATTTAGCTTGTTTCTAATAATTTCACTCTCAAATTCTTTTCAACTCGCCTATTCTCAACAAGAGTTCAACCATAAATGCCTGCATTTGTTTCTATTCATATTGCACTTTTATTGTGCACTTTTATTGGTATTAGATCCAGTTCTACATGAGATGTGAAATTAAATGGCATAAGAAACCATAATCATTAAATTTATTTTGTTGAATGAAATACTCATAATTGGGAATTTATATTATTTGCTTGAAAATATGTTTTTTTTTTAATTTTCCGCAATGTTTCAGGTGGTGTAGTACCTGTATTCAGAAGAGCTCTTCTTTTCCCAACTCGTATTGCCCTGCAAGATGAATTTGGAATTTATACATATGCTGGCTTGCATCAGGCGGCATCGACTCTTAGTAAAGATATTGCTGCACAACTTTGTAAGTACAATGTTTTTATGCTTGCAAGTATACTATAATATAATACCTAATCATAAAAGTAGATAACAGTGTAACTATTTTGTAATGGTGTATATTTGCAACACTAAATTAAAATGTTTAAATGAGAAGACAAGCATGATACAATTTTGCAAAACTGTATTATACCTGAATAAAACTACTTTTACAGATTTTATTGTGTTTAATTGTAAAAATAAAATCCATAAAAGTAGTTTTATTCAATGTGTAGTGTTCGCGTAAATATAAGAAATCGTTATAATATATCTGGTTTTTTTAAATCAACTACTAATGGAAATTAATACAGCCAGACATTTTACCATCGGGCTGTTATTTTACTCCATTTGTTTATAGTGTTCATTTCTAATTCATACTATCTATTTGAAAAAGGTTGCTGTTGATGCATTATAAAATATTTTATGACTATAAAAACATTATTTTATTATTATTTAGTTCTATTTGCCTGTTATAATGTGTCATAGTATCATAACTTATAGGGTCTTTTACTTACTTTTTTTTGGAATTAGCACTCTTTGAGTGTAGTTCAATAGAAAGATAAGTAAATATAGATATATTTAATTTTGTAGTGTAGTGTGTAGAGTAACAGTAAATAAGGTTCTTTTGGAACGAAGTTCCTTATCAGACGGTACGGATTTGGTGGATGGGGGCTAGACGTTAAAAAGTGTAAGATTTTTTCCATCACAACCCCTTCTGACCTAGTGTTGACGGCCTTAGCAGCTATAAGGAGCGAGATGGAATAATATCCATCTCCCTTGGAATTTTTCTTATCTTGCCATGAAAGAAATTATTGTATTTTAAATGAAGCTTCATTTTAATATAAGCTAGTAATCCATTTACTTGTATTTGTTAATGAACCATTTAATACTTTTATCAATAATAATATACTAAGGAGAAACTTCGTTCCAACAGAGTGTAGCACATATTTTTTTTAAATCAATATTCAATATTATATAATATAATAATTTTAGCAATTCCATTTACTGAATTAATTTTTGTTTATTATTATCAGTCTATTTACACTTTTAATTGCTTATTTAATTTATACACACATACATAATTATGTAAACTGTTACTGTTGTGAATGATAACCAACATTGGTACTGACCAATGCTGATTATCATTCAGAGTCACCCTTAACTGGTTTTTACTATCATGCTTCTTCTGCCAAACCCAACTATCACTATAACATACATTTAGGTAGGCATTAACATAGAATTGAGAATTATCATCTATTTTAACACATTTTCAGTTCCACAATAGAGTGAAGACCATTCCACTCACATGAATTAAAAAAAAATTAGAAATGTTGATTCTCTATGTTTTTTAAAATAATATTAGATTGGCAAATAAGCTGTCAGTCCACAGGTAGTGGCATACCCAGTGGCATACACACCTGCAAGCAAATTTACACCAGGACTACCAAGAAATTCCTCATTACCTGAAAATATACTTTATCTCTTACCCTTTAAACCAGATTACTTTGTAACATACCAGAATATACTAGTAAGTGCACTACTGCTTGGGGTCAGAAATATGTAGAACAGTGACATATTTTTTGTATTTGAAAGAATTGTATGATGCCATTGTGGACCAGGTGATGTCAGGGGTCACCACGGAGGATTCCTAACAACTCCAATGTTTTAACGCTGTTAAAGATCTCTGGTAGTGACCCCAGGACGCCATGGTACTGAGCCCTGTAGCAGGTGTTACATTTTGAATTTGAGATTGGTTTAAACAAAGATTATTCAACTTTTTAAATTGATATTATTTTTCCACTTATGTATATTTAATTTATCATATAATATAATATTAAAATGACTTTTAATCTCTTCTTAATGAGAGCTAATAAAATATTAATGTACAGTGGGCGAATCAGAGCGCACCATCGCCTACCTTTGCAGTAATGACGCTTCTCACGTCATTGTTCAGTGGGCTATATGGATGACAGGGAACATAGGTAAGTTGGTGCTTACATTGAAAGTTACTTCACCTTAATACTAAGTTCTAAGAGCATTAATATATATTAAATACAATAACAAATAAATAGAAACAATCTTTTGTAATATAACAATATGTAAAATATAAGCATTTTATTAAAATGCACTGAAGAAAATTAATTAAGGTTACATGTTAAGCATGTTTTTTTGAGATGTTTAATGGATGCAGGTTTCTTCACGATGTTTTCATTCACTGCCAAGTATGTGGTAAATCGGTACTTAAAATTGCAATTCACAGCTTGCTTGTTCATTAAAACATTTTTAGGCGAGGGCTTATCCTCTTAATTATCGCCACTCTTCAAATATCAAATATGACATTATTGCTACAGCCTATTAAAGTCCACTGCTGAACATAGACCTCCCCCATAGGTTGCCTCATAGGAGGGATATCTGCCATAGTGATGATTTGTTTCCCTCTGTCGCCTCTTCGACACCCACAAGATGATATGGGGTAGTGGATAATCTTACACCGCCACTACTCGGCCCTATCGTAATCGTGAAAGGTCCCGTGTTTATGTAGATCTTTTAACGAAATAATTTAAATTTTAAAAATTTGTACAACCGACTTCAATATTTTTTTTTATAGGATAAGGGTGACAAACGAGCACACAGTCCACCTGATGGGAAGTGGTTGCTGTGGCCCATAGACATCTACATTTATCCTCTATTACAAATCAAAATGCAGATGCGTTGTCACCCGTGAGGACTAAAATGGAATGCCTCGTTTCCAGTAAAATGGGTCTCCGGTTCTCTACACTCACCATACGAAACACAGCAGCATTAAGCTGCTATTTTACGCTGGTATTCTGTGAGAGCGTGTTCCTTCCCCAGTCGAGCCGACCCATTCGTGTTACAACTATACCAGAAATATAGTTGCAGCATGGCTCTATCATGTATAAAATATAAATTATTAAGAATAACTCAAAAACTGTTGGTTAGATCTTGATCAAATGTATTTGGGACCACATCATGAAAAGCACCAGCATTCAAATAAAAAAAGAATCATCGAAATCAGTTCACCCAGAAAAAGTTATGAGGTGACATACAAAAAAAAACACACAAATTGAGTACCTCCTCCTTTTTGAAATCGGTAGAAAAATGTGTTACTGCCTAGCCTGTCGTAAAAGGAAAATAATGGGTTATTGGGTTTGTGATTATGTAGGCGATTCGCTAGCCAACTGTCACTGCTTTCACGATTTTTCATCTTTACTCAATGTTTGGATAAACGTGTTCCGAGTAGCTCGCCGGAATATGGGATCTGTCTACCCCCTCGGGGGTTACAGATGTGACGTTACTATGTATGTATAAAAACATAACAATTTTTCCATTTTTCAGCTGTTCCACTCACATCTCTTCATCCGCCAGAGATGCTCAAATACTATATAGCAGACAGCAGTGCTAGTTTAGTAATATGCACACAGGAATATGAGGATCTCCTTCGACCCCTCACTGTTGAACTCTCTAGACCCCTGTTGATCACCAGTAGGGATAATGAAGTCACAGCACAATTGTACCAGCCTAACTCTTCATTTCTTAAGCCAAAGATGGAAGAAAGTTTGAGTGACACTGGGAAATCCAATATGTGGTATGGAATGAAAGATGCTATGCTTATCTACACTAGTGGTAACTATTTAGTTTTTGATGTTTTGTTAATTTAATAAGTGTGCTTTTTTCTGTGCTTATGTTAGCGTGAAATTATTGATTGGCGACTTAGTAAATTTGTGGTTGTAATAACTTGTATTCTCTATGAACATTGTAAAGTGTGACATTACATATGTACAAGCACTTGATTGCTATATATATTTTTATGTTCATTGGGAATAGACAGGACTTGATATAACTTTATAAGCATATTTAGTGTACATACTTCAACATCGGCATAGAAAACAACTATGCAGTAACCGACGTAAACGCCGATTTTGCAAATGTGAGACTCTTGCAACATACATTTAAAAAATATGGTATTGTAAACCATTTTTTTGATCTGGGTTAAAAATTGATGTCAGAACGTCTTAGTAACAAACAAATGTCTTTTCAGGAACAACAAGCAAGCCCAAAGGCGTGGTGTGGACGCATAGTATGCTGAGCACTCAGATCGCGGCTTTGCATGCCGCTTGGCAGTACTCGGCCAATGATGTCGTTTTGCACACACTGCCACTGCATCACATACACGGGCAATTGAATTCTCTGAATGCGTCTTTAGCTGCTGGGGCTCGGTAAGAATACAGCTAGAAACTATTATTACTAAGTATTTATCCATGATAATGGGTTCTTTGACTACATTATTTCTTCATGTCAATGTTAGTTCATCCAGCATATTTGTGTAACCCACAAGTAATTACTCTAGGCACTATGTTTGTGCACTTGCAATTTAAACTTGTTGCAATTGAAGTCTGAGCTGCTGAAAAAATTCGTACGTATTTTTATTTAAAGATTATAAACACTTCGATTTTCTAAGATTTCAACAAAAGCTTTTAATACTCTTACCACTCATTCCACACATTATGACAATCCTCAAAGCACAAAACAATGTGACATAAATTAGATGTTCATAATGCTATTTATTGAAGTCTTAATGAGATTATTCTGGTTTTTCCTCTAGAAATCTCTAACAACAAACACCCGCTGGACAAAATGTGGTGATGGATTCACATGTACAATCCTGTTTCTAAAATATATTTTTAAAGCAGAGAAAATGATTATTTCGTATTCATCATTCGTTCATTGCTGGAATAAGGTCGTGTACTATTGTAACGCAACGCCGTATAATGACGGCATAAAATAATCCACTACTCCATATCTTTCCGTGGGTGTCTTTCTGACAACAGCTCAAAATAAAAACTACGATTGTCCACCCTGCTGCATATATGGTGAACATACTGAACTGTCGTAAAATGGCTCAAGTGTTGCATTTTTAAAATACATCCACTTGTTGCTTGTTAGCTCTCTTTTCCTTCATGAGAAAGTGTTATTGTTTATCGTGGTAGTCTATCTGAGTTGATGTACTTTTTAACCCTCGACGCAAACAGAGGGGTGTTATATGTTTATCTGTGTCTGTCTGTGGCATCGTAGCTACCAAACGGATGAACCGATTTAGATTTAGTTTTTTTTTGTTTCAAAGGTGACTTGATCGAGAGTGTTCTTAGCTATGATTAAAGAAAAACTCTTTTCAGCCGTTTGAATAAGTAGATTAAATCCGGAGGTAATGTCTATTCATAACTAACAAAACGAGCCCAAACTCGGCACATCTATTACTATTAGTACTCTTCGAGGAGTTTAAAAATTATAGAAAAATATGAGAGAATTTATCAATTTAAAAAAAAAAATTGTCTTTCTGACAATGTGCTTTCCATATCATTTATATATACAATATGATTGTTAGCTACGATTTCATGCGACAAAACGTTGGAATCTCAATTTTAAGGCGCTAGTAGAACATACACACGCTCTTCGCGCTTAAGGCATGCAATAAGTAAATGGAGCAAGCAAGTCACTCAATGGTACCTAAAGGACGGCAAGAGCAGACAGGGACACTCAAAAAGTAGTAGGGATGAGGAAATTCGTCTGACCTTGGGATTATATTGGACTAGAGTCGCAGTGGACAGAGTTCAATTGAGACTGTTGGAGGAGTCTTGCTCCAAAAATCACGCGAAATTGAGAGATATTTTTATAATCTTTACATTTATACAAGATATTACGTAAAATTTCGGAATTAAAGGACTGCTATTAAAGTGAATGATCAATTTTAATATTTTATATATCTATGTTGGGGTGATGTCTAACCATGAAGCACTTACAAAGAGGAGACGTTGTAATTCAATTTCACTATGAAACAACGCGTGACAATTTGCGGGGTGAGGGGATGCTAAGCCCCGCCCACTACACTATCTACATCTACCGATAAATAGTAAAACTACTCGAATCTTTCCATATCAATGTTGCAATGTAGCTTAGCTACCTTGACGGTAGATGGCGGCATATCCACAAAATGTTATAAACTAAAAAATAATATTTTGGCGATTAAAATTTCTTTATGTTTGAATGCAAAACAAATTTTAGCACCTTCGTATGATTATTTTATCGTTACTGAGCTCTACGTACCTTTATATTTTTAGTTCACAGGACACAAAGTGTCGCCATCTAGTGTGGAATATATTTAATTATATTTGAAAGCCGACGCAGAGATTTTTCTAGAACTATTTTAATAAATTTGGTGTAAAATTACTTACAAATGAAATGTGATGCCATCCATAGCATCGGAGCGTCTATCTCATGAAGCAAATACATTCAGACAAAGAAATTTTCATCGCCAAAATAATATTTTTATAGTTTTCATAATAATTTTGGGAACAGGCCGCCATCTATTGTCAAGTAAACCTCATAAAAAATTACAAAACGACAGGGCCGCAATTAGAATTCAATTATTTTACCCAGCAACCCAACATTCAATATTAAAATGAAGGAAATTGTACTTGGCTGATTTTTACGCAATGTTTACGTTATATTTAACTGACATTCTATATGCAAAGAATCACTTAAATACAATTTAAATATGTTTATCATTTCGTGAAAGTCAACCTTCAAAAAATATTTATTTTATCCATAAAATAAAGTCTCTTTGAAACTAAATATTCTATGTACAATATTAAGTAGGATATTTAATTTGGAACTAAATATCCTATTTGTCTCACTGATATTATAAAGGCGAAATTTTGTGTGTTCTTTCTGTCTCCTTGAGCTTATTCCACACTAAGTATGTACTGTGTATGTGTAATTTTTTCACGCAGAAACGGCTGGACTATTATTTGTCTGTGGGTTATACTACTTCATATCTCTGAGGGAGAACAAATAATAGACAAATTATTATAATTAATATAATTTTATTTACAAATCAATTAAAATATAAATATTTTATTCCAAATTAGGCATCCGAATGCACTTTTTGAATGCCAATCTAAGAACATTAAATTGTATTTAAGTGATTCTTTGCATATAGAATGTCACTTAAATATATCGTGAAAATCAGCCTAAGTACAATTTTCTTCATTTTAATATTGAAAGTTGGATTACTGAATAAAATAATTGAATTCTAATTACGGCACTGTCTTTTTGTTATCTTTATGAGATTTACTTGACGATAGAATACGGCCTGTTCACATAATGATTATAAACTATAAAAATAATATTTTGTGATTAAAATTACTTTATATCTGAATGCAAAACAAATTTCAGCACCTTCGTATGTTTATTTTACCAATACTGAGCTCTACGGACCTTTATATTTTTAGTTCACATGACACAAAGTGTCGCCATCTAGTGTCGAATATATTTAACTATATTTGAAAGCCAACGCAAATAGATTTTTCTAGAACTATTTTAATAAATTAGGTGTAAAATTATTTACAAATGAAATGTGATGGCATCCATAACATCAGACCGTCTATGTGAGTAGTTTTTACACAATAAAACACAACACTTCATCCTTTTCTTCTTAATACTACGAAAATACATCGATTTGTGATTTTTTCAACACATGAGCGCACAGGACGAATGCTGACAGTATACTAACTAAAGCCACGCCCACTATGATGACGTCAGGACCTACTTAGAATCACAGTGCACAGTTGCTTATGCCGTCTCCCCTTTGTGTTAGCTTCATGGGTCTAACACAGTTGTTTCCGTATCCATACTATGGAATTAAGTAAATGTTGTTTTTAGCATCCGAATGCTGCCATCATTCGTGTCGCACGCGGTGTGGTCGCGACTACTGGGCATGGGGGAGCGTGAGGAAGCCCGCGTGTCGGTGTTCCACGGGGTGCCGGCCATGTACGCGCGCCTGGCGGCCGACTACGACACCATGTTCGCGGGCGCGCGCACCGCGCAGTACGTGCGCAGCACGCTCGCTGCCAGGCTGCGCCTCATGTGCGCTGGCTCCACTCCACTACCAGAGACACTATTCCGGAAATGGGAGGAGGTTACTTGACATCTATAATATTATTTGGGGCTTTATAATAGGTCTGGATCAGAGATTCCCAAAGGGGTCGATATCGGTTTCCCGGGGGTCGACATAAACGAAAACTGATTTTGGCGGTCGACGAGGTCTGAAAATCGACCCCTATTAATTAACACAAGTTTTTATGTTTACTTTGGGATTTTAATGTATTTTTCAAAAAACAATTAACTATCTACTTAAATATTTTTCAGTAATTTGTATTAATAAATTATTAATTACACTTGATATTTACTGAATTTTATGTGTATTTATTTTGTTAAATTTTGATGAGAAAATGATGTCAAGTTTACACACTTAACTGCAAAGTTTTTAAATTGGTGAGTATTTTGTATCAGTGTCTGCCTGCCTCGTTGGTCTAGTGGTTGTAGTAGTGCGACTGCTGATCATGAGGTCCCGGGTTCGAATCCCGGGTCGGGCCAAAAAAAAAAACAGTAACTGAGTTTTTCCATCAAGAAATTCTCAGTAGCTGCCCGGAGTCAGGAAATTGGAGGTGTCTCACCCCCGTGCCTCGGAAAACACGTAAAGCCGTTGGTCCTGCGCCTGATCTCTCTCCGGTCGTGTCGGTTTACCGTCCCGTCGGAGTTTGAGAGCGAGAGAATAGAGAGAGCACCTGTGCTTGCGCGTACACTTGGACACTATAATTCTGTCCTGCGCCGATGGCTAGTCTCCGTTGAGACTGGCCGCCGTGACCGAAATTCGTTCTGGAGGACATTATTATTATTATTTTGTATCAATTGAAAAAAATAGAGGTAGGATTTATAAAGTAATTTGGGCTATGGGGGTCTGAGGTATCAGTTCATTTTTGATTTGGAAAGATATCTCTTGCCCAAATTATTTTGGGAATCCCTAGTCTAGATAGTAGGATTCCATTTCTGCCTTGCAGTTCATCTGGGTAGACATGTCCTCTGTGCATCGATCTGAAGGTTATAGAAAGCCAGTGCTGTTGTTGGCTATAAGGCAATACATCTAAGTTGTCAGAGGTAACAACTTATGTGTAGTATTGTGAATGTAAATGTTCATGGGCTGCAGTAAGCACTTACCATACTATACCAGGTGAAATATTAGCACATTAATTTGTCACTACAATTTTATAAAAATGGTACTATGCAGAAAGTCAGGAAGTCCTTTTTCTAATAAACTTAATGATCTGTATTTGAAGTAAATAATAATAGAAACCTTTAACAAAATGTAAAAATTTACTTCAAATTGCTAAAAATAAGTTATTTATTTGCTACCCTTAGTGGTGGAATTTTTTCTCCAAATTTATATGGGACCACCCATGAAGTATAAGCTATTTAATAATTGCCTCATAGGAATCCCTCCTATTTCCATGCTTGGCAGGCGATTGGATACCACAGTTTTTTTTTAATAGAATAAGGTAACAAATGAGCACAGTCCACCGATGGTATGTGGATGTTGTGGCTTATGTACATCTACATTTATCCTCAATTGAGAACATCTACATTTATCCTCAATTAAGAATCAAAATGCAGATGTGTTGTCATCCCTGAGCTACTATTTTACGCTGGTATTTGGTGAGAGCGTGGTCCTACCTCGTTCGAGCCGACCCATTCGTGCTGCAACCATAAAATAGCTGCAGCATGGCTCTACCACGTAAAAAAGATTTCGAACTCTTAACTAGAAAATGCTGCACTGCTCATCTACAGTTTCAGTTTCCCTCTTTCGCCTCTTACGATACTCACCAGATAATATGAGATACTGGATTCCCTTATGCCGTCGCTTTGTTTCGAATCCCGCACGGAACAAGTATTTGTATTATTATTATTATAGTCTATCAAAGTACACTGTTGCACAAATGGTCTCCTCATAGGTGCCCTATAAGGTGGATAATTGCCAGAGTTGCCAGGCTTGACAGGCAAGTTGGCAACCATAGTTTTTTTCTATTTGGTATTAGGAAGATGCTGCTATCAATCCTGGTTTTTATCTCTCTGTCGCCTCTTCCGACATCCACGTGACGATATGGGGTAGTGGTTATTCTTGCACCGTCACTACACTTAATGTATGGCCTACAAATAATTATTCTGGGTCTGGATGTTTGTACTTGTGAAATTTTGTATGTAAACTGCTTCTATGATATAGGAGAATATCCTAACGTGTTTTCAAATGAGAAAAAAAAAATATCTCAAATTGATTTATCCATTCATTTTTCCGTTGATTCCTTCCCGTTCAACCAGATATCGGGTCTACGTCTGCTAGAACGTTACGGCATGTCAGAAGTGGGCATGGCGCTCAGCAACCCGTACCGGCCCGTGCAGCAGCGCTGCGTGGGCTGTGTGGGCCGCCCACTGCCGGGCGTGGGCGCCAGGGTTGCCACCTCAAACGACGACACACTCGCACCCCTAATTACGGTCGAGACTCCCATGTGCGACACTGATGTAAGTTATTTCTTTTTATAGGATAAGGGTGACTAACGAACACGCAGTCCACCTGATGGTAAGTGGTTGCTGTGGCCCATAGACATCTACATCTATCTTCGATTACGAATCAAAACGCAGATGAGTTGTCACCCGTAAGGACTAAGTTGGAATGCCTCGTTTCTAGTAAAAAGGGTCACCGATTCTCTACACTCACCATACGAAACACAGCAGCGTTAAGCTGCTATTTTACGCTGGTATTCTGTGAGAGTGTGGTCCTTCCCCGGTCGAGCCCACCCATTCGTGCTACAACCATAATATAGCTGCAGCATGACTCTACCACGTAAAAAAACCGTTACCGTTGCAGCCTATTGAAGTCCACCCAGGTGTGGGATCCAGGGCTGTCGCCTCATACTATACTATACTGTTTTGTAATCTATATTGAACACCTTAGTTCCATGAGGCATCCAGACCTAATTTTGGTCACGGGAGCCAGCACCCAGGCTATCAATCTGTGCAGAACAGGATTATAGTGTCCAAATGTATACACAAGCACAAGTGCACGTTCTGTTCCCTCACTCTCATAGTCTGATAGGATGGTTATCTGACACGACCAAAGAGAGATCAGGCTTGGGACTACTTTTCCGGTCTTTACTTGCTTTCTGAGGCACGGGGGTAACTATGGAGCAAATACAAAGAGGAGATGTCATAATTAGATTTCACTATGTAACAACGCGTGACAATTTGCGGAGTGAGGAGGTGTTGTGTCCCGTCCACTTAACTATTTTCCATCTACCGATAAATAAGAAAATTACTCGCATCGTTATTTTTATAATTGTTCTTTTATTTGACGATAGATGGCGGCCTGTTCGCAAAATGATTATAAAAACTATAAAAATAATATTTTGGCGATTAAAAATTCTTTAGGACCACACAAAGTGTCGCCATCTAGTGTCGAATATATTTAATTATATTTGAAAACCGACGCAAAGCGATTTTTCTAGAACTATTTTAATAAATTAAGTATAAAATTACTTACAAATGAAATGTGATGTCATCCATAGCATCAGAGCGTCTATCTCAGTAGTTTTTACACGATAAAACACAACATTTCATCCTTTTCTTCTTGATACTACGTGTCTACTAGTGGTCTTTAAGTAATGTCTTTACAGATGTCTAAAATTTATCTGTAATTATTTATATTGGGAGAGGCCTACGTTCAGCAGTGGACATGGGATAGGTTGTAATGTAATATTGTATTTACAGATATCCTTAGAAAAACTAGGTCTGACCGGTAAAAAGGAACTCTCCTGGGATGCGGATGGGAATGAATGGAAACAGCCTAAAGTCACGGTGCACAAGGAGAGCGAAGATGGCGAATATCAAGGCGAATTACTTCTGAAGGGTCCTAGTGTCTTCACTAGGTAAGATATCAAGAAATCTTATATTTTTAACCTCACCTTTAAGTGTAAGTAGCGGAAAATGGTAAAGCACTGGCTCAGATTATCCAAAGCCTATTATTTTCTTTTGTCTTGCAGACACCCATATTGTCGTATAATTTCGATGTAAATGGAAACCCTAATTCTATATACACACTATAATTATACATATAATTTCTATAGAAATGTTTGTTCCGATTACCTTAAAAGCAGAGTGAAAGTGACTTGTCGTTAACGTTGATAAGTCGTTACACTAAATGTTATCTCATAGAGCTCCAAAGTTTGTAATGATACTAAAACCTAAAACTATCAATAACGTTAAAAAATAAGGTTAAAGATTATCATTTTCGTAGAACAATATTTTTCGTTACGTTATAGGTATCAGTAACGTTATGGCTATATCCGCTTATAATATGGTTATGGGTGAAACATTACAGATTTACTCGGGAATAATCTAGTTTTTGCACATATTTAACACTATTTTTTGATTTATCTACTTTTAAGAATATCCATAGTTTAGTTTATTCATTGCTTAATTTGATTTTTATAAAATACTAGCTTAGTTAGTAGTTAGCTAGTATTAAGTTGTTGCCGTGGTGAAATTTGGTCAGGAGAAACATCGTTATATACTTAAAAAACTTTAGCAATATCATTTACAATCTGTAATTTTCAGATACTGGAATCGCATGTCATTGCTAAACTCATCGGAATTCACGAGCGACGGCTGGTTTCGGACGGGCGATACCGTGGTGTATCACGACGGCCGCTTCAAGATCCAAGGCCGTACTTCCGTAGATATAATCAAGACGAGCGGGTACAAAGTAAGCGCGTTACAAGTGGAGTCCGCGATACTGGAGCACCCCAGCGTCGCAGATGTCGCCGTGTTAGGAATAAAGCATGACACTTACGGAGAGATAGGTGAGTCCAGGTTATCAAATTTCCACTGTACCATCAGCCTTTTAAGGTCCATTGGTTAGAATACGTAACTGCTGAACAGCAGCCTTAAGCTGCTATTTTACGCTGGTATTCTAATTTCTAAGGCTGAGATCTATAAACCGTACTTTGACTTTGCTCAGACTTTACTTTCGAGCTAAGACAATGTCGGTATTTATAGAGCTAACTTCGAAGTCGTGCTGAGTGCGCGCTTAGGAAAGCCTAAGTCAACGATATCGACGACTTACGTAAAACTCAGGATATTATTCAAAACCACCGTATTAATTTTAAATTGTTGTTTTTATGTTACTCTAATTAATTAAAATAATAAATAGGTAGGTTTAGGCCGTCTTCTAGTTTTAAATAGCATTATCCATTTTCTATTTACGTAATTTCAATCTTATTTCGAATTTCATATGATCTTAATTATTTCTTTTTTTCTGACTGCACTCATCTCTGCCGTTCCCGTTCTCATAGGAACAAATATATATATATTATAATTTTATACTGTAGTGAAAAACATAATGTGTTGAATGAAGCATCCATTAATATTTGGACTGTCTGGGCCTTAGCATAAGCTTAGCTTAGTCTTAGCCCGATACAAATATAAATTCAGAAACAAAGATTATGCTGAGCATATACTCAGCTACGTTTGTCGTAAGCTAAGTCTGAGCAAAGTCAAAGTACGATCTATAGATCTCAGACTAAGTTTCGTATGGAGAGTGTAGAGAACGGGAGACCATTTTTTTTAGAAACTAGACATTCCATATTATTCCTCAGGGGTGACAACACATCTGCATTTTGATTCTTAATCTAAGATAAATGTAAATGTCTATGAGCCACAGCATCCATTTACCACCAGGTGGGCTGTGTGCTCGTTTGTCACCCCCATTCTATAAAAAAAAAGAAACTGCCACTGCAGAGTCTACTTCATGTGAGGATGCCTCGTGTAGAGGTGCACACGTGTCGCACTACTGGCTACTATATAAGAAAGCTAAGTAAAGGGGGGGGGGGGGGTAAAGCCCTAATAGTCAGACTTGTTGCCATAATGAGAGCCTGTCTGGCTCTTAAATATCTTCCTAGGGGATGGAGGGAAGTGAAAGTCACATTCATACCCAAACCAGGTAATAGCGACTACACTCACCCTAAATCCTACAGGTCCATTAGCCTCACATCCTTTCTCCTAAAGACGATGGAGAGGATGTGTGAAAGGGAATTAAGGGGGTCGGCGCTAATGAACTTACCACTACATGACAAGCAACACGCCTACAGTCTAGGCAAAACAACAGAATCGGCACCTCATCAGGTAATTACAAAGATTGAAGAGGCCATCCAAAACAAAGAAATATGTCTAGGTTCCTTCATAGATATAGAAGGTGCTTTTGACAGAACGAACTTCTCCAGCATAAAAGGTGCACTCAGTAGACATAAAGTTGAACCGGCACTGACCGACTGGATAGTTTACATGCTCAGTACACAAATAATAAAGATTGCTGGTGAATTTCAACCAATACAAATTCAGAAAGGCTGCCCGCAGGGTGGGGTTCTCTCACTTCTCCTGTGGAATATGGTTATTAATGAACTCATCAGCAAATTAAATGCCAATCACTTCTATACAGTAGGTTATGCTGATGACCTGACAATACTGGTCTCTGGAAAGACAACAAGCATAGCGTGCGACCTGACCCAAGCGGCTCTCCGTATAGTGGAGAGATGGTGCAGGGAATACGACTTAACCGTCAATCCAAATAAAACGGTTTTAGTAATGTTCACACAAAAAAGAATGCTGAACAACTATCATCTTCCAAGTCTTTTCAGCTCTAAACTCCAGCTATCCTCTGGGGTAAAATATTTAGGTCTTACCTTGGACAGCAAACTTAACTAGAATAAACACAGAAAACAAAATCAACAAAGCTAGTATACCTTTCTGGCAATGCAGAAACATGATTGGCAAAAGATGGGGACTAATGATAAAAATCATACTGTGGCTTTACAAAACTGTAATTCGGCCCATGATCACATACGGCGTTCTGGTATGGTGGACCAAGACAAATGAAGCCACCACAATTAAGAAGCTTCAGCGCTACCAGAGACTGGCATGTATGGCTGCCACAGGCTGCATAAGAACTACGCCAACAGCAGCCTTAGAAGCGATGCTGGAGCTAACTCCACTTCATCTACATATACAACAAGAAGCGACTTTAGCTGCCATCAGACTCAAGACCCTAAATCTTTGGAGTAAGAATAGTGTCCCTCATAGAGGCATAATTGATAAAATTCACTCAAAAATTCCTATCCTACAAGCCAAATACGATAAGATTCCTAAACAATTTGTTTTCGATAAGAAATACAAGATACAATTAAATGAAAACAGCCAGCCGGAAGGATTAAGCCCAAAAGAGCTTAGAGTTTTCACCGATGGTTCTAAAACAAATGAAGGTGTAGGTTCTGGAGCTTTCTCTGAAGACCTCAATATTCACATATGCACACCGCTGGGTACCTATAACACGGTCTTTCAGGCGGAATGCATGGGTATCATTCAAGCGGCCATAGCAATAGATGCTAGGAAGGTTAATGACTTCCCCATCAGAATACTGACCGACAGTAGGGTGGTACTACAAGCTCTGAGTTGCAATGAGGTGAACTCAGGACTAATATATGAATGCCATCAACGATTAAATGAGGTATGTAAAAACAACTGTGACTCTGCAATGGATAAAGGGACACAGTGGATCCAGAGGCAACGATGCAGCAGACGAACTGGCCAGAAGAGGATCGGCTCTGGCCACTATAGGGCCGGAACAAATCATACCAATCCCCTTTGTTAACGTTCATTCACTGGTACGTAGACACTTCACTAATCAATACGCTCAGCTTTGGAAAAATCTAGTAGACTGTAGACAAGCTAGGGAGGCCCTGCCTGAAATAAACAGTCGCTTAACCAAAGTTTTAATGAGACTGAACAAGCCGCAGATCAGGATAGTAACAAGTGCTATCACAGGACACGGCACCTTTGACAAACATTTATTTACTATAGGTGTTACAGATGGGGGAGGAAGAAACGGCGGCCCACGTGCTACTGAAATGTCCGGAGGTCGCTACGTACAGGGCTAAACATCTCGGCACGCTGGGATCACTCCCCGAAGTTGTATGCAACATCAAGGGACTGTTGAGCTTCTTCGGAGAGATCTCATGGCTCGAATAATCACATTATTCCTGCCCACACGTAAATTACGCGCATAGACGTGGAGTTGCGGAAAAGAGCCCGTCGTAAACTAAACTAAACTAAACTAACACGTGTCGTATTGTCGTCCTGGTGTGTCTTTCCTAGTTTAGTGGTGTTGGAAGTAGTGGTGACGAGGATAGTGCACGCAATTGAGAGAGGGCGGGAGGTGCTCTTCCAACTAGGTACATCATTTTATTTTATTAGAACGGATGTACGCAAAGTAATTTTAACCAAGTTTAATATATTGGATTTTCGCAAAGTAACGCCTGATTATATTAATTATCATGAATTTCTTGTACGATTTGTTTTCTGAGTGTTCGCAATTATGACAAATTGATCACCAACAATGTCATAATCATCGGTCGGTAACATAGAATGTTATAATGTCAACAAATAATAAGTTCTTTCTTTCTTTTCAAAAAAAAAAATATATGGGTGATTAAAACTGTCAAAATTTTATAACCTGAAAGAATAAGCAAATTAATTCCGCGCGTACGCATTATCGCGAACAAAAATGAAAATTTATACATGAACATTGTTCTCGCAATTTCGAATACAATGAACAAAATTCTCCTTCAATTAAACGGTCTACAATTATTGATTGCACATGATATCTTCTCCGTCTTTTATGCCGTGATCGTTTGCGTAAATAGTACGCACATATTATAGAGTTAACAAATGGATTAATTTTTCTTCGTAATGTTCATGTCTAACTAAGCTTGCCATCAGTTAAGCACTAAACGCTTGGCCTCGACCGACGATCAGGACGTACCGTCAGCGCGTACAGCGTACAGACCGTCGGTCGAGCACTAAATCCAGCCTTAATGTCACTAAAGATCTAGGGGAGTAATCCCGGCACGCCGATGTACTTAGCCATGTAGCTGGAGACCGCACCAAAGTAGGACGTTTTTTATACGATAAGGGTGACAAACGAGCACACAGTTCACCTGATGTGATGGTAAGTGGTTGCTGTGGCCCATAGACATCTATCCTCAATTACGAATTTAAATGCAGATGCGTTGTCACCCTTGAGGACTAAGATGGAATGCCCCGTTTCCAGTAAAATGGGTTCTCTACACTCACCATACGAAACAGCAGTGTTAAGATGCTACTTTACGCTTGTATTTTGTGAGATTGTGGTCCTTCCCCGGTCGAGCCGACCCATTCGTGCTACGACTATACTACTTACACATCTGTAGCATGGTTCTACCACGTAAAACAACGTGAGCCGATGTCTCTTCTCACTTCATCCAGGTTCTGCAAAGAAGGCTGTCGGTGAAATCTATAGCAATTGATATTTATTAAGGGGTTCGTAACTACTCACATATCCCTTAATAAACGGGGCTAATAACAATTTGTCCATTACTGCTTAAGCAATTATTGGATACTGACAAATCTTCCCCATTTTTCTATACAAATAAATAAAATTGAAGTATCGTTTGTAATGTAAAAATAACAGCTTTTTAATAAATGCACATGAAAGTGTCTACAGTAGTAATGACAAAAAAAAAACGTTGTCTATCTGTCTGTTTGTTCCGACTAATCTCCGAAACGGATGGAACGATATCGACGAGAGTTTCACTGGCAGATAGCTGATGTTATACTTTTATTTTAGAAAATGAATTAGGGTTCCGCGCAAAAAAAAATAAAACCAATGAAATCGTAGTAAAATCCACGCGGGTGAAGTTGCGAGGGACAGCCAGTTTTTCATAATTGTGCGGGCAACACCAATCATTATGACGTCAGCATTAGATAAACATGGTGAACTAAAGCTGTCGAAAAGAACAATGGCAGACTTTCATACATAAAATTAGTTGAAAAGGAATGGTAGCGTCTGTATATCATAAATATCTTAAAATGTTAAGCGTCAGTCCTTTATTAACTCTGTCAAAGAATTTTGTCCTGAGAAGGCGTCAAAAAAAAGATATTTAGATTTGAAACTTTTTAGGTTATGTCTTGTCACTTAGAAAAAGTGATGCGTCCTGTGGTTGTTTGATGTTAGCTTAATAAATTCTCAACATAATGTACCTACCTACATAAATGATAGTTTTAGATTATTGTATCACTATTATACATTTGCATACTATAAATGTATATTTCTGACATGGTTCCAGGGCCTTTGTGTACTACAGTGACATTCTCAGAAGGGCTCAGAAGGGAACCCAGAGCTATAAAGCCAGTAAAAAAAAACAGTTTTTTTTTAGCTAGTGTTGCCATAACCTTTAAATGGAATTTTTACAAAGTGCTATGATTGAGATAATGTAGGTATTATTTTAGGAAGTTCTTTGTAAGAGACTTATTTTCAACCATATCACTTTTATTTTTATTATTACTGATAGTATAGTTATTACTAATAATAACTTAATATAAAATATTTTGTATTTTTGTGTTAGGTTGGTAGTCTTACAAAGTTATACGACAAGAGTATGAATATAGTAAATGGCAACACTTGAATAGAGTGAAATGATTTAAGTCATTTGATATTCTCAAAAATGTTTGTCTTTTTCTGTGGCTTTAATTAAAATACATTTTTATTTGAAAAATCATAGAAAAATAGTAAAACTCTTTATATATTTAACTTATTTCTAGACGCTATAATTTTAGTCAACTATTTTTCTGCTATTGTTCTTTGTCATGTTAGAAATATAAAAGCTTTTAGAAAAATATATTAGCTACTTTTTCAGATAATACTCTTCGACAAAACGGCGTTTATGTGGCGTTCAAAACAAACAATTCTCTTAGAAATATCTGTAATAATAAAGATGAGTTGGATATTCGTCAAAAGTCAGGTGTTTACAAACTTGTTGGTGACGAATGTCACGCCGTTTACGTGGGTCAGACTGGTCGCAATTTCCAGACACGTTATAAAGAGCATTTAGCCGCGTACAGAAATTGCAATCCCGATAAATCCCATTTTGCCAAACATCTTTTGGACACTGAACACAACCTAGCCAGCGACCACTCCTTTAAAATCTTACATACGTGTAGTAGAGGGCTGCGGCTGTGTGTGCTGGAACAGTTAGAGATATTAAAAAGTAACAATAGTACCGTTGCATTGCTGAATGAGCAAACAAATGTTACTAACTCACCTCTCTTAAATATCTTTAAGCCTGTTCTCTAATAATAGAGAGCCTCGCAATATGGTTGTTTGTCTCCCTCACGGTGATCGGCGATTGGTTGTGTGGTTGGAGGGTGGGCGTTGCGCGGTGGTTTGTTTTTAATTTTACAAACGGCTGCGTAAGTCCGGCGGTGATTGGTCGCATGTTTTATCGCATGACGCAGTCGCTCGCTTCTTAAGTAGAGAGCGGTTGCGTCATCGGTCTGTATAAAAGGCACTTTTTTTGGCTCGCCGCTCACTTAGCGGTTAGCCACCGTAGAGTCTATATCACCTGAGGATGCCTCGTGTAGAGGCGAAACACGTGTCGTATTATCGTCAGTGGTGTGTCTTACCTAGTGTAGTGGTGCTGGGAGTAGCGGTGCTGGGATTAGTGGTGACGGGGATAGTGCACGCAATTGAGGGAGGGCGGGAGGTGCTCTTCATACTAGGTAAGACACATCATTTTATTTTATAAGCGGATATTTGCGAAGTAAATTTTTCTAAAAACTTTTATATAATAGATTTCCGCAAAGTAACGCCTGATTCTATTAATTATCTTAGAAATAAGCAAAATGTATTATCGCTTCAAATATATAAATTAGTAGTATTGAAATATAAATATTTTTATAATAAACATATTTATTTTATTTAAAGAAAAGTTACCTCCACCCTAGCATTTTTTCCTGTATCGTGGAGGCAGTTTACATACATAAATTTCACAAGGACGACATCCAGTCCTGGAACAATATTTTGTAGGCCATACTTACTTATTCCGTGCGGGATTTGAACCCGCGGCCCTTGGCGCTTTAACTCATTTTGCTAAGCCACTGCGCCACGGATCCGTTAATATCGATAATTTTTTTAGGTATATTCATTAATATTTTTTCAATGGTTACTTTTAACAGTGTCAGCAGTAGTCGTGCTGAAGGATAAAGCCAAGTTGACATTGAGAGAACTGAAGGATATGGCTGGCAAGAAATTGGCTCCCTATCAACTTCCAAGAAAACTACTAATAGTTGATCAAATGCCAAGGAATGCAATGGGCAAATTGGACAAAAAGGAGATTAAAAAAATTTACGGAGAAAAATTGGTGCGAGGAAAGAGTTCCTAAAACATGAGACTGAGGTAACATTAGGATTAACGAATTATTTTGTATATTGTATTTATTAAGATTATATTTATATTTGCTTAGTCTTATAATGACTATTAAATGTATTTTGATGATAATTTTTTAATGTAAAGTAGACAAATGAAATACATTAAATACTAACTTCTAAAAAAATATAGTTATATTTTTGTTTTACACGTAAAATATTGTTCATAATTTGTTTTTAATATGATATAAGCATCCTAATATATAATATTTGTTTTATATTACAGAAGTTTAATTCAAAACTGTTTCTCGTCAGTTATACTTTAGAAATAAAGGTTTGGTTCAGCCTGCTGTTAGTTTGAGAGACATCGACGTGTGGTGTGATCGACTGTCTCATTGGTCTAGTGGTTGTAAATGCGCCTGCTGATCAGGTGTTCCGGGGTTCGAATCCCGGGTGGGGCCAGAATCAGTGTTTGGGTATTCCTGTCAAGAAATTCTCAGTAGCAGTCAGGATTGGAAACGTTGGTGGTGTGTTTGCAAACACACGTGCAAAATAGTACAGGAGTCCTGTACAGATGGCTAGTCTTAAAAGAAATTGATTTCTCTCCTGTATCGTTGAAGTAGTTTACACACATAGATTGCACCATGATAAAGATTGACATTGACGTTGAGACTGGATACCATGACATGGAGGACATTTTTATCAATACTGGTGGTCGCCTAGTGACTTAATTGAAGTTAGTTTAAGTTACAAACCTATATACGTTCCACTGCTGGCCACAGGCCTCCTCCTCTGACTTCTGAGAGGGTTTTAGGGCAAGGAAGTGTCCATCGCGCTGCCCCAATGCGTGTTGGTGGACTTCACATTACTTTGAATTAACATTGAATTTAAATTGTTAATTGCACCCGGCAGTAATCGAACTAAGCCCCTGAAGCCACCACGGTTGGTGATTGAAATATGACTGTAATTCATTAAAATTTTAGGTTTGTATATTAAAGCTTGAAAGCTTAAGATGAAGCTTTCAGGATTAATATACAAATATTCTTCTTCCCTTCTCTACAGCTTGAAGCTAAAGTTGAGCTATGACACAAATATATAGATAAATGTTTTTATCATTAGATCACATTAAGTGAATTTCCCTAAAAAAAATTTAAAGGCGCCAGTTGCAAAAGTGCCTAAGTCCCAGATTAGCATTTTAGAGTACAAGACTAGAATTAAAAAAAAGTGTCGTGGAAATAAATCTATTGAAATTATCGACAAAAATTAAACTTCAGTATATTAAGTACACATCAGCCTTTATTTATATATTAAATATTCAGGTATTAATAATAAACTTTTTAATTAAATCAACATTATGACTGATTTAGGTCTTAACATATGGACTAAGCCACTTTTAATACCTGCACATAGGACTTAAGTGCTTTGGAAAATTATTAATAGGACTCAGAACTTATGTAACTAAATAATATGAACTTAATCAAAGAAACCATATTAACATTTCTTAATAGAAATACAAAGACGTGAATAATACTACTTATCTTCACGCACAATCCCTGACGGGGTAGCCAGAGAGAACAGATCGCCAAGTGTCACTATCCTTACAAACCTCTTTCGCTTCTTTCAGATTCATTATCTTCTTCATGCATGCACGTCTAGGTATCCGAGTACTTTTGACCCTACCCTCTTCGAGCAATTTGCTCACATGGTCTTCGAAAGTTAGTCTCGGTCTACCTCGACACCTTTTAATATTAACTTTCGCGCTATATATTTTCTTCACCATTCGGTCTTCACTCATTCGCTCAACGTGCCCAAACCACCGAAGCACGCCCTTATCAATTTTTGTGATAAGGTCATCTTTCAAACCTGCCATATTGCGAATCTCTTCGTTTCGCTTTCGGTCGGCCATGGTAACGCCGCACATTTAACGAAGAGATCGCATCTCCACTGCATTCAACTTACTTTTATGCTTCTTCTAGCATACCCAGGTTTCGCTGCCATGTAACAAAGTCGGTACCAACACTGCGTTATGTATTGCAAGGCGTGCACTCTTCGCTGAATAATGTGAAATATAAAAACAAAAAAATAAATTATTAAAAGATTTCTACATCATCTTTCGAGATTAATGTAATTTTATAAGGTGTTAAGTGAAAAGGAGAAGTGTTGCTCAGTTTCAGACTAATTATTTCAACAAATTTCTAAAAGTGCTTTGAAAAATCATTAATAGGTAAAGGGTCTTTGCTTTTCTTCGACGCAGCTCTTTTTCTATATTAATCTGCATAAGCTGTATCTGATCATTTTTCTATTCAACCGACTTAATATATACTTTAAATTTTTCATAAACATTCCAAATATCTTTTGTTTGGAGCACCAAGTTAAATATTAAAAGTCGTGGTTAAAATTTTCTAGAAAATTTCATACTTAACAATATTGATCATTTCTGAATTGAAATGTAAAAACTGTCCATGTAACTCCGTTGTATTTAGATCAGCTGAAAGGTATTCTCTATGTATATTATCTGTTCTTCAAAAATGGGATATTTGGGAAGGTAAAGAAGATATAAATGAATGCACTACGTTCATCGTTTCTTCGGGAACGTTTCGTGGATGGTTATTTTGTTTACCCCTCTCATCTGAAATGTCTTTGTGCTTTTTTAAAACTTTCTTTTTTGGACGATCACGCTTAACTTAATGAACTGCAAGAAACGTTGTCACACAAACAGTTAGTTTTTAATTTGAGGGTATATGTAAAAACTTGTCTTCGTCTTGAATTTCGGTTTAGTGGCCGGTGTTTTTGGAGTGTTTCTTCTTTAGTGCATCCTTGCAAATAAATATTTTGTTTCGCGTCGGTTGATAAATTGTTTGTAAACCTCAGATTCCGACTCTGTTATTTTGTCATTGCATTTGCACTTGTATTGTATTGACACTTCGGAATATTTTTCCTTGTATGATTTTTATACGCCTTTCTTTAGATTTGTTTCTTGCCCTTAGTTTTCCGCGAATTTCTTCTTTTTTTTCTAATCTATTTGGCTTCTTATTCTTTTTGAATATGAGCATCATTCTCCTCCTCCAAGATCTTAGTTACAGGATTAAGTAATCTGTGTTTTGTGATGGGCTTAGTACAATTACTTACAAAATTCTATAGACGGACCAGGCGAAGAATCAATTATATTATCAAAGAACCTAGTTTCTGGATTGATTAGCTGGAAATCTAAATTGTTAAGCGCTAAATTATGCACTGAAGCAGTGAATACAGAACCCCTAGTATTGTTAGACGATTTGGGATTTGATTCAATGTTTTTCTAAACAGATTTTAGAAGTTTCTCGTGGTTATTCATATCAGTGGCACTCCATTCAGATCCAGGAGAATCATCATCGCTTTCTAGTACACCGTGTAACTCACATGCATCCATGATTGAATCGTACTTTAAGATTATAAGTGTATATCGAACTGTGCTACTACAAGAGTTGCCTCAACAATTTATCATTATTCATGTTCAATTATTCGCACATCATAACTATATAAAAATTCAAAAATCGTGCTTAAAACGAAATCAACACTGAAAAGAAGGCAGAAAACCGTTTGATATTGGTTTGAATTAACACGTAATTTTCTACTGACTTCAAAAAGGAGCCGGTACTCAATTTGACTGTTTGTTTTTTTATGTGTGTTACCTCATAACTTTACTCGGTGATCCGATTTCGATGATTCTTTTTTTTTACTTGAAAGCTGGTGTTTCACATGTGGTCCCATATAAATTTGAGCAAGGTATGACCAATAGTTTTTGAGTTATTCTTAATAATTTATATTGAAGTCGGTTGTAGAAAATTTTTAAAAATTTTAATTTTAATAGTAAAGTCGATGGATGCAGGTGGCTCAGGATCGTGCTTTGTGGCATTCTTTGGGGGAGGCCTATGTTCAGCAGTGGACTTGTGAAGGGCTGTAATGATGATGAATGATAAATAGTAAAGCTTTTTTCTGTATAATTAATTGAACTTAAGGACTTTTTGTTCAGAAAAGAAAATACATAAGGACTTTTTACTGACATAGGGACGTCTAACCTCTAAACAGAACAATTTTTTTTTAGTTTTAATTTCGGACTTACACACTTTTAGGAAAAGTTAAAAAAAAACAGGACATAAACAATTCTAACATGCTAAATTCAATAATAATATCAGGTTAAAAAGTACATAAGGGGACTTAGGCACTTTTGCAACTGGTGCAAAAGTGCCTAAGTCCCCTTAGGAACGCTTTCGCTTATTAAAGAAAAGGTCGTCCGACAAAAAAGTCATATTCGGGTCCCGGTGGGAATGTAGGAGTATTTGTTGGAGTTTCTTTGAATCTGCTTCTGCTCTAGCGCTGCGGCAAGTGCAGCCCTTTCGCCCTTGTGTAAATAAGCACAGGAACCTAGCTCACCTGCGCAGCTTCGACTGTTTGGTCGCCTTAGGCGACCAGCCTGCTTTCCCTCCGCGCTTCCGGGTTCTCATATACACTCTAGGGGTAAGAGCGGAAATACCACGTGGAAGTCGAGGTAGACAGATTCGGTTTTGTGATTTATACCTTCTGGTACTAGGGTTTAATAAAAAAAAAAACGACCAATAATATTATAAAAACATTTATTTATAGACATGTTTAATTGCTTTAATAAATTCCATAAAAGGATCCTTTTTGTTTCTTTTAACTGACCTTCTCCACAAATATTTTGTAATAATATCTGCAAAGTTTTTCGGGTGGTTATAATTGTTATTGCGATTTGATCCTTTGAGAGTGAGTGCCATCAGGGGCAACAAATGGGTTATCAGAATCGGAATATTTCACCTTCTTGTGAATGTACCCATGTTCCCCCAAACAATCATACGCCCTCCAGAAGTCTGTATGGATTGTGGTGCCCTCAGCCACGTTTTTTTTAATTAGGGGCACTAGTATGTCCGCCGACCTGACGTTTTCGGGGCATACCTCTAGTCGCAAATCTTCACTTCCATCCTCAATGAGGCCGAGGATCCAGTAGCCCTCAATCCTATAAACAACAATAAACAATGTATAGTTAGTAAATATTCAAGATATTTTGGCTTCAAAAGTAAACTTTAAATAAATAAATTGTTTCAGTCTGTAATATCATTCATCATCATCATTACAGCCTTTCATAAGTCCACTGCTGAACATAGGCCTCCCCCAAGGAATGCCACAAATCACGGTCCTGAGCCACCTGCATCCATCGACTTCCTGCATGTCTTACCAGGTCGTCACTCTATCTCGTGGGGGGTCGCCCTACACTTCGCCTACCGGTACGAGGCTGCCACTCGAGAACCTTTCTTCCCCATCGGTTGTCGGTTTTTCGAGCTATATGGCCGGCCCACTGCCACTTCAGCTTACTAATCCGTTGGGCTATGTCGGTTACTCTAGTTCTACTGCGGATATCCTCATTTCTAAGTTTATCATGCAGAGAAACTCCGAGCATAGCCCTCTCCATAGCTCGCTGAGCGACCTTGAGCTTCCTCATACGGCAGCTGTAAAGGACCACGTCTCAGTTCCGTAAGTCATCACTGGCAACACGCACTGGTTGTACAATTTCGTTTTAAGGTTTTGAGGTATGTCTGACGAGAAATGTGTCGTAGCTGCCCAGCCGAGTTGAATCCGTCGATTGACCTCTCGGTCGAAGTTGGACTTACCTAGTCGGACTATTTGTCCCAGGTAAACATACTCGTCAACAACTTCAAGCTTAGTGCTCCCAACAACTACCGGCATAGGTGTGACATGGATATTAAACATAATCTTTGTTTTGTCCATGTTCATCTTAAGACCTATCCGTTGGGAGATACTATTGAGGTCATTGAGCATAGTGCTTAGGTCCTCCAGCGATTCTGCCATAAGGACTATATCGTCGGCAAATCGAAGGTGAGTGATGTACTCGCCATTGATGTTGATACCGTATCCTTTCCAGTCCAGAAGCTTGAAAACGTCTTCCAATGCAGCGGTGAAGAGTTTCGGGGATATGACGTCACCCTGTCTTACACCTCTCTGCAATTGGATAGGTTTCGTACTCTGGTTCTGTACTCGGATAGCCATCGTAGCTCTACTGTACAAACACTTCAACACTTCGATATACCGACAGTCAACTTGGCACCGCTGAAGGGACTGCAGCACCGCCCAAATTTCGACGGAATCAAAGGCTTTCTCATAGCCCACATACGCCAGACATAGTGGCAAATTGTACTCTTCGGATTTCTGTACAATTTGCCGAAGGGTATGTATGTGGTCTATGGTGCTAAAGCCTTTTCGGAAACCGGCTTGTTCTGGAGGCTGGAAGTCGTCAAGTCTGCGCGCGAGACGATTCGTAATGACTCTCGAAAACAGCACGTAGACGCGGCTCAGAAGGGAAATCGGTCTGTAGTTCTTCAAGAGAGCGTTGTCACCTTTCTTGAAGAACAAGACCACCGCACTTCTGCTCCACGCCTCCGGTGTAATGCCACCATGGAGGACGGAATTAAAGAGCTTCTGAAGAACTTCAAGTACCGGTCTTCCACCCGCTTTCAGAAGCTCCGCTGTAATTCCATCCTCGCCTGGGGCCTTACCGTTTTTAAGGTGCTGGAGAGCCATTCTAATCTCGCTCAGATTGACGTCCGGGATATCTTCGGAATAGTGTCGGATGAGACTCGCTCTTGGATCGTTACTCACACTTGCGGGTGGCTCCAACGATGACGTGTACAGCTGCCCATAGAACCTCTCAATCTCACTCAAAATCTCAGGTGTCCCGGAAACGATGCTGCCACATTCTGTCTTCAGCTTTGACAGTTGGCTCTTTCTGGCAGACAGATCTCTGACAAAGACTGGAGCCTTGGTTCCGCTCGATCGCTTCTTCAATACGAGCTGTATTGAAGTTGCGTCCCGCCGCATGCATTTGGAGATCTGTCTGTTCAGATGCCTGTATGCTGTCAAGTCTGTTGAAGAATGTAGCTTCATCTCCCGTCTAACAGCCATGAGATTAAGATTGTGATCGGAGAGTTTTTGTGTTCTTCTGCGGCGGGTCTTGCAGAACTTAGCTCCGACCGCATGAACAGTTTCCACGAGCTTGTCATTCATATCGTCCACTTCATTACAGTCTTCTAGGCACTGAAAACGGTTTTGTAACTCGAGCTGAAAGGTTTCGGGACTTTGGAACAGAGCACGAGGGGGACGGAGCGTTGACTTCATTAGACGAAACCTCTCCAACTTAACGTTTAGGTTCAGTGTGCCTCTAACTATTCGGTGATCGCTACCAGTTTTCACCCTCGCGATCACGGAGACATAACTGAACAGTTGTCGCCTGGTCGTCATAATGAAGTCAATCTCATTTTTTGTCGAACCGTCGGGGCTCGACCAGTTCCACTTCCTGTAGGGCCGCTTCTGGAAGAGTTCTTCATAAAGAGTCCCTCTTTCTCCATGAAGTCGGCCAGCTGCTGGCCCCTTGGGTTCCGTTGCCGTATTCCAAATTTCCCTACTTTCAGCTCACCGTTCTCTCTTGTGCCTAGTTTTGCATTGAAGTCTCCCATTAACACCGTATATTGGGTTTTGGAGGAATGCATGGCTCGAGAGATATCCTCATACATTTCCTCCACCTCTTCATCGGGGTGTGCCGAGGTTGGTGCGTAAACCTGTATGACCTTCAGCGAATACCGTTTGGTGATTCTGAGTATAAGGTACGCAACCCTCGTCGACACACTCCTGATCTTTACAACGTTGTTAACGAGAGACTTGTGGACGATAAATCTGACACCTCCTTGGGACAGATGGTCGCCCTCCCGGTGATAGAGCAAGTTGCCGGATTCGAGGATTACCGTGTCCTCCCCCTCTTTTCGGACTTCGGATAATCCTATAATATGCCAGCGCAACTTGTCTATCTCTTCTTCCAGCTCCACGATCTTCTCGTTAGTCCTCACGGTGCGTGCGTTGTACGTTGCCAGGTCGAGTCGTCTAAGGTGGCAACCGAACCTCCACCGGAGATTCTTCGCACCCCCTGCCCCGCCGTTACCATGGTCGCCACCGTAGCCAGGAATAGCGGGGCCGCCGGGGACTGGGGGCCGTTTCTTTGTTACTGTCATTCATAGGGGGGTATTTGCCATAGTTGCCACGCTTGGCGAGCGGGTTGGCAACCGCAATTTTTTTATTGTAATTTTGGCTATTATCAGGAAGATGCTGCTGCCCATCTCCTGCCTGTTTCCCTTGTCGCCTTTTACGACACCCACGGGAGGATATGGGGTAGTGAATATTCTTGACCGCCACTACACGGCACTGATATTTTAGTATTTTCAAACCAGGTGTCCTTACTACGAGCTACCCTGGATCGGGCTTTGCAATTTCCTTTATTGCGCACAAAGGAGCTCACATTTTATTTTGCCCATATTCCACTTTCATTGGCACTCTATGGATGCGGCACTCTTTAGTGGCAGGGATTAATCCATTTTCAACGGCAAACTCCACACACTGCTCTCTGGTACCGGGTTTTCGCACGATTCGGGGTAAATTAAATATTTTTGCTTCTTTTTCCACGTATTAACGCCTGCTCACGTAATCGCCATAAAGCTCCGCGAAGGGTACTGCATCCGTTGCAGCGGCGTCGCTTGCGTTCGACGGACCGGCCGAACTAGTTGACGGGGTGGGGTCGCAAGTCATCTTGGGTGTCCCAGGTAGACAGACATGTAGGCAAGGTCCAAAAAAACGTGCAGGGGTCGTCGTAGGGCAAATTGGTGGTCCGGTATTCGAGCGCGGGTCTTCGTCAAGGCAAATCACAGGTCCAAGAAACAAGCAGAGGTCGAAAGTAGAGCAGGCGGTAATCGGAGGTCTGGTAATCGAGCAAGGCTCAAGAGTTGGGAGCAAAAAATGGCAAAACATGCCAAGTTCGAAGGCGAAAGTGGAAAATGTTTGGCTTCACGTAAAACAACCGTTGTTTAACATAGTATCCTAGAGTAGGATAGCACTATAAACAGATCATACAACCATACTATTGCTATCTCTTTCTAATAATTATATTTTTGTTGCGTGTTATTTTTTAAAAGAGATACAGACCATGCTCTATTGCTATCTCTTTCCAATAATTATATTGTTAATTAGTTTTCGTATCATTTTAAATGGATGTAACCTCAAAACTATAATTATCGATATCTCGAAAACTTAAAGATTTCCGGCATAAAAAGCAGCTAGATGGTAATCAATAGCATCATTGCCTGTCAACTAAAGCTAAAATGATCACTTAAATCGTGACGCAGATTACTAAAGTCAACCCATAGAATACATTATTTATTAAAATTAAGATACTCATTGACTGAGTTTTGGATATCTGTATTTTGATCTTCAATCCCGGGTCTGACGGGTTTAATATTACGACTGTGAGAATCAACAAAGACTGGAGTATTTTGTGAAGTAGACGAATGGCTTTCAACAAAACAGATGTTACTCATACGACGTGGGTTGAATGAATTTTCTTCAATCAAGGGTCTCGTTATTTAATTAATAATACGACTGTCTGAATCAACAAAGACAAATATTTTGTGAAGTAGACGAACGGCTTTCAATAAAACAGATGTTACTCATACGACGTGGGTTGAATGAATTTTTCTGTCTATGAATTATTCTGCATCTGAGGATCAGTAATAGAATGGTTTTTCATCATACAAGCTTCTTCAACAGAAGCAATTCAACATTTGTCACATACCGGTTTTCAGCACAAGAATTAGTTCATGTCCGAGACAACCTTAAATAATATTTTGGACATCATCGTAGTTAGTGTGTTGTAGCTGTTTTTTTTACATGGGGAAATGCCTATGCAATGCCTCGCCTCGCGGGGGCAAGGATGGGTTATGTCGGATGGCACCGACCAAAACCCCATGGTGTTACACCTTCACCGCATATTGGCAGGGCCACACAACTGCGGCCCCACCAACGCTGGCCGCCCCATAGCAGCCCCTGCTCGGGGGAGTGCTATTCCTCTCCATCCTCCTTCTCAGACAAGACGCACCAGGAACACAAGACACGCCTTCCTCCACGGCCTCTAACTGTCCAACGGGCCCCTACGAGTCAGATATGCAGATGCCATGGGGCCAGGAAAATAGAGCGCTCGGTAGCACCCGCTCCACCAACCACAGCGGCGGATCTGGTCTCTGGCTTAAGGCTCTGGATCGAGTTTCGGCCGCGTAAGAAAAGGTGAGCGGCGCCTTGCAATACCTGATAACCTCCAATACCTTACCCTACTGTAACTGGTAAGTTGTGGTTGGTGAGACTTTTAGAGTCTTTGTTGTTGTTGAGTTGAGAGAACAAGTAGATGGGTTGTCGTACATTATATTCGTGCTGCATTATTGATTTGCAGAATTCTAATTCTTCGAAGGTCAAGTTTGTGTTTCCACGCTTAGTCTTGATGTCTAATAAACGTGCCCATAGTAGTGAGGTATTGTAGTACCTCAACATACCTTTGGTCATTTGCTTATTTAGATTTTTGTCATCATCCCCAATGGAGGCATATTTTCGGCGTTGTCAGGCTGTCTCGCGAATGAGGGACTGATCCCCTGGTCAACATGAAGTTCGCGGACGGTAACGTCAACTTCAAAGATAGAATCAGCCCACATGGGGATGTTCTTTGGTGCTGTTGGCGTTCTCGCTTTGTCCAGCGCGGTTGGTGGCGCTACTTCTTTAGAAGTAGGACCAGCCCTTTTAGCTTTTGGAGCCTCACTCCTTCATCACTTTAGCCGGATCGAATTGTTCTGGTTTTCCTTTATAGCCATGAGCTATCTTTATTTCTTCAGGTGTGTATAATTTCCTTTCCTGTTGTTGGTTCATTTTCAAATTTTCTACCACGTATAAACCTATGTACACAAGTACAATGGACTGGCTATGCCACACAAAATGCTTATGCCGATTTGAAGCTCCATCATTCTCCGTACCGGGAACTAAAATTGACATAATATGCCAAAGTTTGTTGTATTATTTACATCATATCTCTGTACTTTGAATTTTTAAACTAAAAATGAAAGTATTTTATGTGGTTTGTTTGTTTGATTTTAGTTACATAATAAGAATGGATAATATTCCACAAGTGAATTTATAGCTAATATTAAGCAAATTGATTGAATGAATTTGATAATATAGGTACTTAAAAATTTGCTTCTAATATTAATATCGTAATTACCAACATGTTTGTCTTTATATTACTGAGTTATAAACAATAAAACTCAATAGGGTTGTTGAGTTCCTTGTCTTTAATACTTATCGATATTCTTTTCTACCCATATCTGTTCACAACAAACCTACCTAGAACTAGAACCTAGACTGAAATTATGGCTAAAAAGCACAAAAGTTGTGAATTGGCGTCCGAAATAAAATGATTATCTTTGTTCTAAACGCTTTACAGACAACTGTTTTATTAGACATGATAAACGCACCACTTTGAAAAGTGCAGTATACCCACAATATTTTCTGGTAGTATCAGTACCAGTAAGTATAAAATATTAGATTATTATTTCGAATGTTTTCTATTTCTTCTCTTATAAGTATAGAAAGGTCGTCTGATGATGACTTTGTGTTTGCAAGACTTAAGTTTGTTAAATCTGTATAATTATTATGACCAATTTATTGTATATCAAGGGAATAAATTTATATTGGAACTGCAATGTCCTTAGTGAGTTTGCGTGAGTTGAGGTGAGAAATACCTCCTCCTGAATGGGTTCCCGCCCTGTCGTGGCGGGGGGTGGGGCGGAAGGTTAGTAGCCGTGGCTTGGTAACCCATGGTAAACGTAGGGCGGGCTCAAGGTGGCTACTCTGAGTGGGCTTGTCGAGCCCTCGGATGTGTGTTAGTGACCTGCGACTAGAGGAGAGTACTCTACATCGCTGCAGCCGAGGTGGTGTCGCAAGGGAAGAAGATTGTTGGTATGGTAATGCGCCACTCGACTATCCTCCGCGACTTTGGCGGGACTGTACCACTTGGTGCTTCGGTAACCCATGGTAAACGTAGGGCGGGCTCAAGGTGGCTACTCTGAGTGGGCTTGTCGAGCCCTCGGATGTGTGTTAGTGACCTGCGACTAGAGGAGAGTACTCTATATCGCTGCAGCCGAGGTGGTGTCGCAAGGGAAGAAGATTGTTGGTATGGTAATGCGCCACTCGACTATCCTCCGCGACTTTGGCGGGACTGTACCACTTGGTGCTTCCGAGTGCTCGTTTTTTCTTGGCTCCATGGCCTCCACATATCGGGCTCGGGAAGTCCTCAACTAAGGAGGTATCGGCCGCGGATGTGCTTGAAAGCGTTTCCGTGGCCCTGTCAATGTGTGGTGAAAGTGGAACATCATGGGCTTTTAGTCGTTCTTACTCCTTCAATGCAGGTATGCGTAGGCATTTTCTCATTTGAAACCCGAAACATAATCCGTTCTGTGGTTACAAATAAAAATGTTGATAGATCAACGCAGCGTCGTTGTTTTATATTATTCTTGTTTTATATGAACTATAAAGCTTGCGACTAAGGCCTAGGTATTAATTAATGTATTTATTTACATAAATAGAATGGATGTTACGGGTAGGCCTGGGTATACAATTCTTATCGATATATTTTTTCACGGTGGTAAACAAATACGAGCTAAACAATCTAATTTAATACTTTTACATTACTTGTGATATACATTGTGTTTTCATGCGAGAGCCAAGTCAATCTATTTATTTAAAACATAAAAGGTTTTTAATATTGATATGGTCACTATAAGATGTTGTTAGGTTAGCTAATTACGTATAACTTGAGACAGAAGGACCCTTAAGTAGGGATTGAATAAATTAACCGACTTAGTATTACATGTGTTACGGCCTACAGCTGCCCCTGCAAAGATCGAATATTCCGGGGCCCATGAGCGGAAGATTCAACGAGCAGCCGTAGGTCGGGCCCCAAATGGCCACATGGGAAAACGTCCTATCATACTAAACTATATGGGAGAATGCTAGGAAAATATAGTACGTACCTGTTTCTGACTCTAAGATCGCCCCAAGGCTCGGTCAGGTCGTAAGTGGGTGTAACGTGAATGGCAAGTAGTGTTTAGAGATGTGTATGTGTCTGAGACCTGGACCAGCTTAGGTGAACAACAGCGGCCGAGTTCCAGGCTGCCCCACAATACTGCATCGCTCCAGCAGGCTCCACCGCTGGACCATTTCTTTCTTCCTGTCACTATTTCAGTCTATTAACTTCATTGTACATTTAACTAACTTAAAGTCGCCTAATCCCACATTCATCGTAGAATCGAACACGTGATACCCGACACAGTAACGAACAGTAGTTCAAAGTTCAACATTGAATGTCCCACATTCACTTATCGCCTTATTATAAATAGGGAACTAACGCGATCTCTTCATGAGTCACACGGTTCAGCGTTAAACAAAACTAAGTTCCATCGTTCGACATCAAACACTACGCCGCGATAAGAATTCAAAATACGCCTCGTTGACACGTAAAACTAACAAACCAGCCAACACACAAAAAAGGGCAACAATGATTTCCAGACAATCAACCGGGAGACGCTCTCGAACAAGGAATGCGCGGTTCGAATCCTAGACCGTATATCTACTCGGCGTGCGCGTGCGAAATTCCGAGTCACCCGAGCAAGTTAAATATTGCAAAATTCACTTCAAACGCAATCACTATATAATTTGCACAATTACTTTCAAAGAAGTTACTTTAATCAGTCGAACACAATAAAAGCCTCTTATCAAGAACTTAAACCCCAGACAACCTAATCCGTAGCGAAGTAACACGCACTAAATCGAACCATATGGACGCTACACCGTCGCGTGAACTTCGGCAGCGATAACCGAGATACGCGGATTAACCGCATCGCTGCCAGCGAGCCACTAAACTCTCGCCCACGAGTGTCACACGCTGCCCATGAAGCTGCCTACCGCTACCCCCCGCGATGCGCGTGACACCTGGTGCCATCGGGCGACTCACGAAGTCGAACGTGATTGGATGTCGTACAAATTACCTTTTTTGGGCCTAAACAACATGGATCTCACAACTTTTTACGGTATAAGAACTGAGTTGCGAGAAGTTATGTTTTTGATGGCATAATAATACCTAGAACGATAGTTTCTTACAAAGCGGATAATCAAATGTGAGGTAAGAACAAAATCTATGTGTACGCAAGCCTCTTGTGTTTACGCTTGACGGAACGTACACAAGTGAAAAAATAATGTTGCCAATACATTAAATTTTCCCCAAAAGTAGGGAAGTTGAAACTATATTGGACTAATAGTTACGGCGTAACGTACATATGACTAGTACAAATGTGAAAATAAGTTTGTTTGAATTCTGTTATCGAAGTGTAGCCCGCTAAATTCAAAATATTCTTGAATAGGTTATTTACCTGTATACCCAAGTGAGATACTTTTATGAGCCATCGAAATGTGATTGCACAATATTTTTCTTTGTAACTGTATAGATACCTTATAATTATATGACTAATGCAAGTTCACTGATACTATTCGCTATGCTAGACTAATACACACTCGCCCGATTCCCGACACACGGCAGTTCGGCGAACAATTGACAGAATTCAATATTCAGTTTGTTTTTAACTAATTTGATTTTAATAATCGTCGAGTAATGGTGTACCGCGCCTCACTGCATGAATAATGTAAGCTACCATACGAAAAACATTTTAATTTTGGCAGATTTTACACAGTAGATGCATTCCAGCTTAAAGTGATTGAGAAATCATTTATTTCAGTAGCCTTGTAACTGCAACTCTTTCTTGAAAAACTGTCGCTTTGATTATATGAATTGTAAAGTATTTTATTTTTTGGACTTATACAGGCTGGCCCAGAAAGACCGAAGTGGTGTGAATTGCTTATAACTTTTTATTTAAGAGATATTTTTTTAATTTTTTTTTTAAATACATTAAATTTATGGGGAATATTTTTGGATTAGTTATTAAAAATGATATCCCGCAAGTGGTGGCCATATTCTGCTTCGCACAAATTGCTCTTTCCAACACATTTTCCATGACCTTTCGCAAAACTTCCGGTGGTATGTTGTTAATTTCTTCTCGAATATTGGTTTTTAACTCCTCAATAGTCCTAGGCTTATTAACATAAACTTTTCCTTTTAAATAGCCCCAAAGAAAACAGTCTGGAGCGGTTAAATCCGGGGAACGCGGAGGCCAATTAAAATTGCTGTTACGAGAAATTATTCTTTCACCAAAGATGTCGCGTAAAAGAGTCATTGTGGCCCTCGCAGTGTGCGCTGTGGCTCCATCCTGTTGGAACCATATTTGCGGATGGTTTTCCACGGCTGGCCTTACAAAATTTTGCAACATGGCCCGATATCGATCACCATTGACGGAAATTGCGACACCTTGTTCATTTTCAAAAAAAAATGGGCCAATGATCCTTTCTGAAGAAACACCGCACCAAACGGTACACTTAACTGGGTGCAATTGTCGTTGATGAAGTAC